CCTCCGCGCCCTCCGCACTGCAGGCGCCTCGCCGCGTTGGCCGCCGCGGCGCGTCTGCTGCGCAGAAGGTCGAGGAGGCAGATGTCTGGGGACGAGCACCCAGCTGCGACGGGTGCACCCTGATGTCCCTCTGGAGCGTTCAAGGCCTGCCTTCCCCCCCCTGCCCCGCTGGGCGCTGGGCTTCGCCATGACCCACCGAAGCGTTTCTGCCAAGGCACTAGCCTGGCGCCCTTGGGACTGCTCTGCTTCTCGACCGAGGTGGGCGTCGGGAAGATCAGGAGGCGTCACGTGGGCATCTGCCATCACGAGGCTTACGGATTCAGAGCAGCTCCCCAAACCGAGAACGAACACGAGAGCTCGAGCGAAGCAGGTAGAGTGCGGGATGGAGGGCGAGAGCGACAGCGAGGGGGAGGACCATTGGAAACGATGCCCCAGAAGATGATGCGAGCGAGGGGCTGAAGGCCGACTTGGGCGGCGACAGCGACAGCGAGGCCGAGAGCTTCAGCCAGGGCCACCGCGACAGCAAGTGCGGGCCCCCGGAGCTTGCCGCCGCCCCCGGCCTCTTGTTGTCTTGGCATCGCCCGGGCGGCGTGCGCGTGTCGCGGCGAGGCCAGCGCCAGAACTCTGGGCCTGAGTCGGGCGTGTCCCCTACAGGAGGCATATTCAAAGCTAGCCAACAGTAGTCTGGGGACGGTTTTTCAGTATGTGGGATATGTCCGCTATTTTTCGGGGGTAATTCTGTCGTCCCAAACCCGCCTGTAGTGGGACATGCCCGACCTGACTCGGGGCCATCTGGCAGCATCTTGGATAACAGGCGAGAGAAAACAATACGCGCGAGCCCGAACAATGCACGGGGAGTGGACGTCCGAGCGATGGCAAGTTATGGGGTCCATCGAGCCTGAGCCCGTTTGTGAAGGGGGGTGGCAAGCCCCTGGGCTTCGCTCGGCCCCCGCCGTGAGCGACAGCGCAGGCGAGATCGAAAGCGAGGTCGAAAGCGGAGCTTAGAGCGACAGCGACAGTGAGGATGAAAGCGCGGTGCAGAGCACGAGTGAGAGCGACGGAGGGCTCGATGGTGAGGGCGACAGTTTGGACGAGAGTGGTAGCGACAGCGAGAGCGACAGCCAGAGCTCGCAACGATGAGTTCTCCGAGCGAGAAGCTCCGACCTCGAAGATGCGCTGGCAATTCGGAGGGGTCTAGTGGTTGCCTTTGGGTTTTGTTCGCGTGGCCATGTTCGGCGTTGACAAGTCTACTACTTGCGCGTTTAACATCTTCGAGCATCGCGTATTTCGTAGCGCCACATGCGAACGATACTTCACGGGCCAGCCGAGTCAGCTTCCACGCAGGGATCCGCGCGTGCGAGAAAGGTCGGCAGTGGCAGTACGCCTTGTCATTGTTCAGGGAAATGGTCCAAACCAAACTGGCGCCCGATATAGTCAGCTACAACTTTGCAATGAGTGCGTGCAACGAATGTGGGCAGGGGCAGCACGCGCTGACGCTGTGGAATGAGTTGCTGGCACAGGGCTTGCATCCGAGCGTAATCAGCTTTAACACAGCAGTCAGCGGGTGCCAGGACTGATTGGCTTGTTTTCCTCCACCACCACCATAAGCTGGAGGGGAGGGGGCCTCCTCCTCCTCCTCCTCCTCCTCCTCCTCCTCCTCCTCCTCTTCGTCCTCCTCCTCATCCTCCACCTCCTTCCCCCCTCGAACGTATGGTGGTGGTGGTGGTGGTGGTGGAAAACAGGCACATCAAGGACGACGGGCAGTGGCAGCAGGCTCTGCTCTTGCTGAGGGAGCTGCGGGACACCCGGCTGGAGCCAGACGCCAGACCGTACTTCTGGCGTCTCGAGTCCGTAGCGAAGTGGGGCTCTGGAGCTCTCGACCTCAACGTTGTGTGTGGATCTCGCGCCGTGGGTGGTTCACACGTGTGAGTCCAATACAACAGCTGACGATATCAAGCCTGTGGTTGAGACAGCTCGTTTTTTTGAGGCGCTCTGGGTGAGCTTTCGGCGACGTCGCCTCTTCAGGCTTGCCTGAGTGGAACTGGCTATGGCCCTCCGTCTGGCCAGCCCGCAAGCCTGCAGAGGTCAAAACTCGGGAGGGCCAGCCGCCATGATAGTTTGGGCCAGTCTTCGTGAAGGACGCCAGAGGTCGGGCAGTCAGCATCAGTGCCGCAATCCGCGCGTGCGAGACGGCTGGGCAGTCGCAGCAGGCGCTGTCGCTGCTGCGGGAGCTGCCTGCGTGGAGGCTGGAGCCAGACGCCACCTCTGCATTTTAGAATGCCGAGTTCGAAGGATCGAAGGCGGCGGATGAGGTGGAGGAGGAGGAGGAGGAAGATTGCCCCCCGTTGTGATTGCCCCCGTTGTGATTGCCCCCCGTTGTGATGGCCCCCCGGCTACACCGAGCGCCCGACGTGCCCCCCTCCCCCCCCTTCCCCGCCTCTTCCGACATCCGGACGCTCCGATCGTTGACGTTTCGCGTATCCACACCAGCCGTCCGCAATAAGTTCGCCAGCCGTGGGAAGGGTCAAGGTGCCCCAACCACAGGCAGAGGCAAAGATCCATGGAACGACGGTGCCTCTCGGCGGGCAAGCCAAAAGGGGACTCTGGGCGGGCCGCGAGCTCGCACCAGCCCTGGGCGCAGCCGCTTGCCCCCTCCCAGACACCACCGCCCTCACACGGTCCCATCTGCGTCAGCGGGATCCTCCCTTCCCCCGGGGCACGCTCCCGGCTGCCCCGGCGGAATCGCCTGCCTTATCTCACTGCCGACGCTACCCCCACCCAACGGGCGCCAGCCCCTGCGTGCCACCTGACGACGGAGTCGGGCCCAGGCGTCTCATGACTCGCCTGCCTCCCCCTGCGCCAACCCCGCGGGGGGCCCCCCGGTGCGCCACCCTGGCTTCGTGCCTAATGCCGCCCTGGACGTGCCCGGCTGGGGATGCTGGCTCGCCCCTGGCCCCCCAGGAGACCCTTTCTCCTGGGCCCCCCCTTTGTGGCCCCTCGCCCTCCGGCGCAGTGCCGCCCCCCCTTGGCCCGCCTTAGGCGCCGCCCTGGGGTCCCAGGGGTCCGCCTCGCCCTGGCTGGAGGAAGCCGTGCTGCTAGCTACGTTACTGCAGCGACATTCTCCACGACGCGTCCTGAGTTGGTCGGGCCGCTCGCGCTCAGGCCCCTCCCTTCGCTGGTAGTGCTCTGACTCTCCCGAGACACTGGCTGCAGCCGGGCTCAGGCGTCCTGGCTCCTCTCAGCGTGAGAAGCCAGCGAGTGACCCCCGCGGCCCACAACGCTGACCTCCCCTATCTGTCTTAGCTCTCCCCCCACACACACACACTTCGCGACTGTTAGTCGCGCCCACCTCCCTAGCCCCCGCACTCACCGCTTAACGTCTACTGCGACTGTTAGTTGCTTCCATCCGCCTCTCTTACCCAGCATTGCGACTGTCTGTCGCTGTTCCGCTCTCCCCCCTCCCGCGGCCACGCCTTGCGGCCGCCCCAGCCTCGTGCCTCATACCGCCCCACGAGCGCACTTTGGGGGTGCCGGCCCTCCCCTGGCCCCCCAGCTCGCCGTCGCTCGGGCCACTTGCGACGCTGCGCCCCTTGGCGCTGGGTCGCCCCCCCTGCGCCCACCCCCGCGCCGCAGCGGGGTCCCTCAGCCCCCTCCGTCGTCTCTCGCTACGAGACCACTGAGCCGGCTGGGGCTTGGCTGCTGACGCTGCGCGCGCCGCCTCCGCCTGCCTCGTCGCTCGTCGTCGCAGCCGCCACGGTTCTTGCCACGCAACTACCAGCAGCGGCGCCGCTGCCGCCGGACCCCTTGGGTGACGACGATGGTCGGGATCGTCGCGGTCGGTGCTCGGCGGCACCGCTCTAGCGTGCGAGGCCGCAGGGAAACCCCCTCGGCCCGTCACGCTCGGGCCAACGTTCTCGGTGAGTCCCTTCGCTTTCTGTAGATAGGCTCCGCAGGTGGGACACTTCCGAACTGCGTCGGCCTGTCACTGTCTTCCCCCGCCGCCCCAGCCTTGCGCATGAGGTCGCTGGGACCCCCCCTCGACCATGGACGCTGGGCTGCGGGCCTTCCTTTCCTCGCGGCCACCCTGAGCGCCCCTGAGGCTCGCCTGCTAACCCCTTCCATTTCGGGGTTCTCCTGGGCTCCTGGGCCTGCGGTTCGCCTTGAGTCCGCTGCCTCTGCTCGCACGGGGTTGACGGACCCCCGGTCCTCCCCCATGTCGCCTCCCCCAGGGTCGGCTATTGTCCCTGGCTTTGACTCTCGCCGCCTCCAGCGCAGGGGTGCGATCTTTTTCCGCTGGTTCCCCGCCTCTGCTGCTCCTGGGCCGCCCTGGCGCTGGCTTCTCCCTGTCCCCCCGCCCGTGTTGGCGCTTCCGCCGCTTCCACGCCCCTGCTCCGACCCTTGTCGGTGCTTGGCGATCCGGAACGTCTCCGTTGAGCGCCTGCATGCCCTGTTCGTCGTTCTCTTCGGCGGTCTTCGAGTACGTCGGCTTCTTGCTCTTCGTCATTTTGGCGCTGCACGTCGACCAGTGGCTCTTCCTGGCCCTCCGCGTTTCCTGAGCCGCAGCGTAGCCCGCTTCTGTGCGCTGTCGTGCGGAATTTAGGCCGTTGCTCGTTAGCCGCGTTTCTGGACGGCGTCTGGCACCCTTGCGCGCTCGCGAAAAAATGGTACCCCCACCAGCCCATCCAGAAACGATGCTCAGGAGAGCTAGCGGGAGAAGGGAGGAATAGACACACATAGTGAAACAGCGTGGGCAACAACGGTGAATTGGGAGATCTCTGGTAGCGAATGGTATGGGTGCTGCTGTTGGTGCTGCTGCTGGTGGTGTTGTTGGTTCTCGCGCTGTTGGTGCTGCTGCTGGTGCTGCTGCTGGTGCCGTTGTTTCTGTTGGTGGCGGTGGTGCTGCTGTTGCTGCTGGTGTTTGTTTTGGAGGCCTCTTGGAGCGTCTGAGGGGCTTCTTGGGTGCCTCGGGGATCCTCCTGAGGCCTTTGGGGGGTCTCTTGGAGGCCTCTTGGAAGCGTTTTGGGCGCCTCTTGGGGCCGTCAGGGTGCCTCTTGGTGGGACCCTCTTGGAGCGCTCGTGGGAGGCTTTAGGAGCGCTCTCGGGGCCATCTTGGAGGATATCGATCAAAGAAGAGGGTTCCCTAAGTACGCCCCCCCTCGGGAGCCTCCAAAATAGCCTCCTGGACCACTCTTGGGGCGCTCTTGGAGCGCTCTTGGGCGCTCTTGGAGCTCGTTTCTTTATTGCTTGGGGCATGACGGGCGTCATGGCCGCCGCTCCCCCCCCTATGACGTAACGCTCCCCCTCCAGTGCGCTCCGGGCACTGCCGCCGTGCGTTTTAGGATCCGCGTGGGTGTCCGCGTAGGAATCCGCATGGGAGTCTGGTCTGCAGTCGTCGTCGTCGTCGTCGTCGTCGTCGTCGTCGTCGTCGTCGTCGTCGTCGTCGTCGTCGCTCGTGGCTTGTCGCTCGTCGCTCATAGCCGTCGTGCGCGCGGACGCGGCTTTTACAATCCCGGGCCGATGACGCGGGGTGGGTGGAGGGGGTCGATGTCGTCACTTTTCGCACCGGCGGCGTCTGGGAATGCCTTGGAATGACGGAGGACGGGTAGCACCAGCATGTAGGTGGCGATTTCCACCACAACGCCTGTGTACACCACAGTGCCTTCGTGCACCACAGCGCCTGTGTACACCACGCCGCCTATGTACACCACAGCGGCCGCGTGCAACACAGCGTCAGTTTGTGCCACCGTGCCTGCGGGCACAGCAGCTCTTGTGTACACCACAGCGCTTGCGTACACCACATCAACCGTGTGCAACACAGCACCAGTGTACACCACAATGCCTGCGGGCGTCGCAGTGCCTGTGTGCACCACGGTGTCTGTGTGCACCACAGCATCCGTGTGCAACACAACACCACTGTTGTATATATAATGTTTAACGGATCCTTATGACAAGATGGAGCGCTTGTGGATTCCACAGGAAGCAATATAACATAATCTTTATGGACAACGGAACGCCGCTGGAATCTACGAGTCCTCCCGAGTCCGCCCGCATCACCCGAACTCCTCCCATCTGCGTCCAGGAGGCTCCAGCTCAATTGGCCGTCCGAGAACCAAGTGGGTCGATTCAATCGACCATTCTGCGGTGCGCGCTGAGATGCGCACGTGCGCTGTACCGCCAACCCGCACGACGGGGGGTGAGGAGGAGGAGGAGGAGGAGGAGGAGGAGGAGGAGGAGGAGGAGGAGGAGGAGGAGGAGGAGGAGGAGGAGGTGGTGGAGGTGGAGGAGGAGGGACGATGGAATAACGTCGCATTCGATTATCAGCACTTTCCTGGCGTGGCGTCTACTTATCCGCAGCAGATCCTCACGTACATGCTCCTTCTACCTGTCCTATGCACGCAAGCATTGTGGTGTACACGTACACCAGCGCTGCGTTGCACGCGGATGCTGTGGTGTAGACACGCGCTGTGGCGTGCACAGGCGCTGCGGTGCATGCAAACATTGTGGTTTACACAGGCGCTGTGTTGCACGTGGTAGCTGCGGTGTGCACATGTACACTGGCGTTGTAGAGCACGCGAGCACTGTGGTGTACATAGGCGCTCCGTTGCACACGGTTGTTGCGGTGTGCGCAGGCGCTGTGGTATACACGCGCGTTGTGGTGCACGCGAGCGCTGTGGTGTACACAGGCGCAGTGGGGCATATCGCCACCTACATGCTGCTCGCGTCGTCGTCATCGTTGTCGTCGTCGTCGTCGTCGTCGTCGTCGTCGTCGTCGCTCGTCGGTCGTCGCTCGTCGCGTCGCGCGCGCGGGCGCGGCTGCGGTGCCGGAGCCACACGGCGGGGGGGGGCGTTACGTCATACCCCCCCCGCGCCCCCTCCCCCCCCCATGACGCCCGTCATCGCCGAACATAAAGAAACGCGCTCTTGGGGCCGTCTTGGGGCTCTCTTGGGCCCCTCTTGGGGCCCTCTTAGGCCATCTTGGAGCCATCTTGAGGCCTCGGATGGCCATCGGAAGCGAAAAGGCGAGAAGGCAACATTCATGTGTTTTCCTTAGGTATTCGAATGATTCTGGCTTCTTGGAGGCCTCCTTGGAGGTCTCGGGGGCCTCTTGGAGCCGTGTTGTGGCGGTCTTGGAGCCTCTTGGAGCATCTTGGAATCCATCCTGAGGCATCTTGCGCTATCTTGAACCATCTTGGAGTTTATCTTGGGCTCTCTGAGCCCCCCTTGGAGCCGTCTTGGGCAATCTTGGAAGCTCTGACCGCTCGCGAAACCCCCCGTC